CTCGAAAGTGGCGACAGTTTCACAGATCACGGCCCCCCAGGGATGGCGAGGTCTAACTGTGCTGGGCCCCCTCAGCAGGCCTCGAAAGTGGCGACAGTTTCACAGATCGCAGCCCCCAAGGGATGGCGAGGTCTAATTTGGGTCCGCCCGTCGCCCTCACTGTGCAGGGCCCCCCAGCAGACCTCGAAAGTGGCGACAGATTCACAGATCGCAGCCCCCCCAGAGATGGCGAGGTCTAATTTGAATCCGCGCGTGGCCCTCACTGTGCTGGGCCCCCCAGCCGGCCTCGAAATTGGCGGCAGATTCACAGATCGCAGCCCCCCAGGGATGGCGAGGTCTAATTTGAATCCGCGCGTCGCCCTCACTGTGCTGGGCCCCCCAGCAGGCCTCGAAAATGGCGACAGTTTCACAGATCGCAGCCCCCCAGGGATGGCGAGGTCTAATTTGAATCTGCCGCGTCGCCCTCACTGTGCTGGGCCCCCCAGCAGGCCTCGAAAATGGCGACAGTTTCACAGATCGCAGCCCCCCAGGGATGGCGAGGTCTAATTTGAATCTGCGCGTCGCCCTCACTGTGCTGGCCCCCCAGCAGGCCTCGAAAGTGGCGACAGTTTCACAGATCGCAGCCCCCCAGGGATGGCGAGGTCTAATTTGAATCCGCGCGTGGCCCTCACTGTGCTGGGCCCCCCAGCAGGCCTCGAAAATGGCGGCAGTTTCACAGATCGCAGCCCCCCAGGGATGGCGAGGTCTAATTTGAATCCGCGCGTGGCCCTCACTGTGCTGGGCCCCCCAGCAGGCCTCGAAAATGGCGACAGTTTCACAGATCGCAGCCCCCCAGGGATGGCGAGGTCTAATTTGAATCCGCGCGTGTCGCCCTCACTGTGCTGGGCCCCCCAGCAGGCCTCGAAAATGGCGACAGTTTCACAGATCGCAGCCCCCAGGGATGGCGAGGTCTAATTTGAATCCGCCCGTGGCCCTCACTGTGCTGGGCCCCCCAGCAGGCCTCGAAAATGGCGACAGTTTCACAGATCGCAGCCCCCCAGGGATGGCGAGGTCTAATTTGAATCTGCGCGTCGCCCTCACTGTGCTGAGCCCCCCAGCAGGCCTCGAAAATGGCGACAGTTTCACAGATCGCAGCCCCCCCAGGGATGGCGAGGTCTAATTTGAATCTGCGCGTCGCCCTCACTGTGCTGGGCCCCCCAGCAGGCCTCGAAAATGGCGGCAGTTTCACAGATCGCAACCCCCCCAGGGATGGCGAGGTCTAATTTGAATCTGCGCGTCGCCCTCACTTTGCTGGGCCCCCCAGCAGGCCTCGAAAATGGCGACAGTTTCACAGATCGCAGCCCCCCGCAGGCAAGACAGGAAGAGGCAGGGAGGGAGGGAGGAGGAAGGAAGGAAGGAGTGGAGACCACACTGCTCTATTCAAAACGAATACCCAACCAAGGAGGGTGGAATAAAATTCCGTCCAACCCTTCAACCCTCCTATCCTTCAACCCCCACTCCAATCATCCAGCCCACCAGCCCTCCAACGCACGAAATGTCGCTGCGACGCACCCGCTTGTATCAACGCTGCGGGACCAAAACAGCGCGTGCGGTGGGGCGGCTGCCGCGGGTGTGCCAGCTAGCCTGAAAAAGCGGAAGCTCGCGGGCGGGCGATCCCTTACAGGCGCCCCCAGCCATTAAGGGGAAGCTGGGGTACACCTGGACGAGGGACACAACGTGGACAGACAGCACGGCGACTCTACTCACACGATTCTTTTGGCGGTGGCGGCCTCGCGCGCGGCGACGACGCGGGGTAAGCCTAAACACAGTGCGCGCGTTGGCCGATCCCTCAAACAACGCGTAGACCTACACACACACACACACAAACAAACACAACACACACACAAACCACCGTGACTCCCACAGGGCGTTGCGAATGGGCGCCTACACTACACGAGGGGGGGGAAGCGCAAAGAGAAGCACCCAGCTTCCTGGGCGGCCAGCGAAGCAGGCGCATGCACGCGACTTTCACGCGCGAGGCGGTGCGGCGTCGCGAAGATTGAGCAAAGGGAAACGCGCGGGCCGGGCCAGCTTACGCAGCAAGGGAGAGCCGAACACGCCCGCTGGGGATCACGCGGCAATACTCGCGAAGGGAGGGGGCTGTCGCGACGGGGCGAACACTTCTCGGTCGTCGCGGGCTGGGCATGGCCGCAAGCCGTCCGGAAGCCCTGCGGGCGCGCGCGCGCTGGCTAGATCATCAACCATGAGTCGCCGAGCCCTCACGGGGCAGTGACGATGGCGAGGGTAGCAGCGGCTACGGCGGGGCGCCAGTGGTGGGGGCGCGAGGGGGGGCGGCGGCGGGGGCGCGGACGGGACACACACGCTCACAGACAAACAAACAAACTAACTAACAAACGATTAGCCTGGCGAAGGAGCCAACCATATGCAGTTGTGAGCACCGTCGTTGTATGCACCGCATTCGGAGGAGCTCCCTAATAGGGCCACGAAACGTGTGACGGGTGTACCAAATTTTGTCTGGTGGGCGCATGCGAAAGCAGCCACTGGGGCTACCTGTGGAATTCCCTATGCGGCCACGAGAAGCGTGAGAGGTGTGCCGAAATAGGTGCGGTGGGCGCATGCGAACACAGCGATTGGGGCCGTCGGGCCACGAAACGTGTGAGGGGTGTGCCGAATGGGGTGCGGTGGGCGCATGCGAACGCAGCCACTGGCGCCTTCGGTGGAGCTCCCTGTGGGGCCACGAAACGTGTGAGGGGTGTGCCGAATTGGGTGTGCGTGACGCATGCGGGCGGTGGCGCTGGGGCCTTCGGTGGAACTCCCTGTGGGGCCACGAAACGTGTGAGGTATGTGCCGAAGTGGGTGTGCGTGACGCATGCGGGCGGTGGCGCTGGGGCCTTCGGTGGAGCTCCCTATGGGGCCACGAAACGTCAGGTGTGTGCCGAGTTGGGTGTGCGTGACGCATGCGGGCAGTGGCATTGGGACCTTCGGTGTAGCTCCCTGTGGGGCCACGAAACGTGTGAGGGGTGTGCCGAAATGGGTGTGCGTGACGCATGCGGGCGGTGGCACTGAAGCCTTCGGTGAAACTCCCTGTGGGGCCACGAAGCGTATAAGAGGTGTGCCGACATGAGTGTGCGTGATGCATGCGGGCGGTGGCGCTGGGGCCTTCGGCGGAGCTCCCTATGGGGCCACGAAACGTGTGAGGGGTGTGCCGAAATGGGTGTGCGTGACGCATGCGGGCGGTGGCGCTGGGGCCTTCGGTGGAGCTTTCTGTGGAGCCACGAAACGTGTGAGGGGTGTGCCGAGTTGGGTGTGCGTGACGCATGCTGGGGCATTCGGTGGAGCTCCCTGTGAGGCCACGAAACGTGTGAGGGGTGTGCCAAAGTGGGTGTGCGTGACGCATGCGGGCGGGTCTTCGGTGGAGCTCCCTATGGGGCCACGAAATATGAGGAGAGCCGAACTGGGTGTGCGTGACGCATGCGGGCGGTGGCACTGGGGCCCTCTGTGGAGCTCCCTATGGGGCCACGAAACGTGTGAGAGTTGCGCCGATTTGGGTGTGCGTGACGCATGCGGGCGGTAGGACTGGGGCCTTCGGTGGAGCTCCCTATGGCGCCACGAAACGCTGTACTGGGTGCGTGAAACGAAGGGAGGAGGTAGGAGGGGGAGCAGGATGAAGGAGAAGGAAGGAAGGAGGGAGGGAAGGAGGGAACGCGAGGACCGTCTCTTCAAAACGAGGGCCCAACACCACCGGATTTTGGTGCGAACAAAAAAATTATCCTGGCGAAGGACCCAACCATATGCCGCTGTGTGTAACGCAGTTGTGGGTATCGTCCTCGGTGAACCCCTCCCTGGGGCCACGACGAATGTGACGGGTGTGCTAAAATTGGCACGGGTACGCCATGCGCACGCTGCCACCGGAGCCGTCGGTGCACCCTCTGTGAGGCCACGAAACGTATGAAAAATACGCCAAAATGCAGGGTCGAACCACGTGCGAGCGCTGCCACTAGGGCCTCTGGGGGCCACGAAACGTGGAAATGATGCGCCGAAATGAAGGGTGGAACTGCATACGGAACCTGCCTCTATGGGGCCACGAAACAAACGTGTGAGGGGTGCGCCGAAATGGAGGTGGAACTGCATGCGGACCCTGCCAATGGGGCCTTCGGCGGAGCACCCCATGGGGCCACGAAACGTGCGAGGGGTGCGCCGAAATGGAGGTGGAACTGCATGTGGACCCTGCCACTGGGGCCTTGGGTGCACCCTACGGGGCCACGAAACGTGTGAGGGGTGCGCCGAAATGGAGGTGGAATTGCATGCGGACCCTGCCACTGGGGCCTTCGGCGGAGTAGCCTATGGGGCCACGAAACGTTTGAGGGATGCGCCGAAATGGACCCTGCCACTGGGACCTTGGGTGGAGCACCCTATGGGGCCACGAAACGTGCGAGGGGTGCGCCGAAACTGAGGTGGAACTGCATGCGGACCCTGCCACTGGGGCCTTCGGCGGAGCAGCATATGGGGCCACGAAGAAAGTTAGGGGTGCGCCGAAACGGAGGTGGAACTGCACGCGGACCCTGCCACTTGGGCCTTCGGCGGAGCATCCTATAGGGCCACGAAACAAACGTGTGAGGGATGCGCCGAAATGGAGGTGGAACTGCATGCGGACCCTGTCATTGGGACCTTGGGTGGAGCACCCTATGGGGCCACGAAACGTGCGAGCGGTGCGCCGAAAATGGAGGTGAAACTGCATGCGGAACCTGCCACTTGGGCCTTCGGCGGAGCACCTTATGGGGCCACGAAACGTGTGAGGGGTGCGCCGAAATGAGCATGCGGAGAGCAGAGGCAAGGGATGGGAGGAGGGAGGAGGGAGGCGGCAGCGGGAGGAGGAGGAGGAGTGGGATGCGGGGCGCTCTCTTCAAAAAAGGGACCCAACACCACAGGATGGTTGGGAATAAACAAAACTCGATCCTCAAACCTCAAAAATGACCCTGCAACTGCCCCTTCCAGCGGGCCTGCTCGCTGAAGGTGCAGTGCCAGCGCTCGAGGTGCTGTCCAGGCGGCCTCTGGCCCGAAGCTCGCATAGCTCCTGCTGTTCCACTTCCTCTTCCTCCTCTTCCTCGTCCTCCTCCTTCTCCTCCTCCTCCTCATCATCGTCCTCTTCCTCCGCCTCCTCCTCCTCCTTGCCTCCTCCGCCTTCTCCTCCTCCTCCTCCTCGTCATCATCACCAAAACCACCACCACCACCACCATCGACCACCACCATAATCCTAGTCAGAATCATCATCATCATCATCATCATCATCATCATCATCATCATCATCAGCAGCAGCAGCAGCAGCATCATCATCAGCAGCAGCAGCAGCAACAGCAGCATCATAAGCAGCAGCAGCGTCAGCATCAGCATCAGTATCAGCATCATCGTCATCGTCATCGTCATCGTCATCGTCATCGTCGTCGAAAGCATCATAATCATCAGTACTATCATCATCATCATCATCATCAGCAGCAGCAGCAGCGGCAGCAACATCGTCGTCATCATCAGCAACATCAGCATCATCATCAGCAGCAGCATCAGCAGCAGCATCATCAGCATCATCATCATCATCATCATCAGCATCATCGGCATCATTTGCATCATCATCATCATCAGCATCATCATCATCGTTATCGTAGTCAGCAGCAGCAGCAGCAGCTGCACCACCATAGTCATCATCATCAGCAGCATCTCCTCAGCATCAGCATCATCATCATCAGTGTCGTCATCATCATGGTCCCCCCGCACAGTCAATCTCGGCATCAGCATCATCATAATATTTCGGCATCGCGACTCCTCATCATGATCATCAGTATCACCATCACCACCATCGTCAACATCATCGGCAACATCAGCATCAACAGCATCATCATCAGTAACAGCATCGTCATTGTCATCAACATTCGCCATCATCACTCATCATCATGACCATCAGCATCAGCACCGACGTAATCAGTATCACCACCGCGTTCAACAGCCGCATCAGCATTATCATCAGCCTCATCAGCAGCATCAGCATCATCGTCACCGTCATGATCAGCCTCATTACCAAAATCAGCAACGTCAGCATCAACAACAACAACAGCAGCAACAGCAACAGCAACATCTACATCAACATCATCATAATCACCACCATCATAAGCATCATCGGCATCAGAATCATGAGCATCAGAATCACCATCGCCAACAACAACAATGAGTATAAACTGTGTGACGGTTCGCTCTTACCTGCTCGAGTGCCATTCAAAACGTGTATCCCAAACCCTCGATACCTGCCCTCTTCGCCTTCGATCCTACGCCCCTTAGGGGCATATCTTCCCTGCCTGCCGCGTGTAGTTGGCGCAACCGCAAAAGAAGGGGAACGAAGGGAGGAGGGAAGAGACGAGGGGGGGGAGAAGGATGGAGCACAAGAAGATTACAGGAGGAGGGTTTGGGGTAGGAGCACCAGCGGCAGAACTGGACAGGCGTGTCGGGCGGGCGGATCCTAACGAGCAGGTCGGGCGGGCGGGCCCAGACGGCCAGGTCGAGCCGACGGGTTACTGAAGCGTCAATACATCATGAAAGAAGTTTCGAGCGATATCGCGATTCCAAAGTGAATCGTTAGGACAACGGAGCGGGAGCGAGATTCCCGAGTAAATGGAGGCCCGGCGCCGCAATGAATTACGAGGGAGTACCACGCGAGAGCGCGATTCCTGCATACGTTCTGAGGACGTCCCGCGCGAGAGAGCGGTTTTCATATGAACTGCGAGGAAGTATCAGGCGGGAGCCGTTGTGGTTGTAATTCGGAGGCCAGGGGCCCAGTCTGGTGACCCCAAACCTTCCCTGCTAAAGAATGATGCGGGCCCTGGGGGCGGCACCTCAATTGAAAAAAAAACACTGGTCACCGAAGGGCGAAATCAACAATACTTGTTGTGCATACTGGAGAATTCAGCAACAATCGTTTTCAGACTTTATATCCCCAACCCTGCTCGCGTGTCACACAACACGTACATCCCAAACCTGCGATACCCGCCCTCTTCGTCTGCGACCGCATCCCCTTGGGGGTATATCTTTACCTGTCACGTGTAATTAGTGCAACCCCTAAAATTATCCTGGCGAAGCACCCAACAATATGCAATTGTGAGTATCGCCGTTGTGGGTATCGCCTTCGATGGATCTCTGTATTGGGCCACGAAGCGTATAAAGGGTGTGCCGAATGGGGCGGGGACACATGCAGGCGCAGCCACCGCCACTGAGGCCTTCGGACGAAACGCTGTAGCAGGTAGGGGAAACGCATGCGCAGACCGCCACTGGTGCCTTCGGTGGAGCTCCCCATGGGGCCACGAAACGCTGTACTGCGTGAGGGAAGCCCATGCGAACCATCCCAGTGGAGCCTTCGGTGGATATGGGGCCACGAAACTCTGTACTGGGCCTTCGGTGGAGCTCCCTATGGAGCCACGACACGCTGTACTGGGTGGGGGAAACGCATGCAACCACCGCCACTGGGACCTCCAATGGAGCTCCCCGTGGGGCCACGAAACGCTGTACCGCGTGAGCGAAGCGCATGCGAACACCAGCACTGGGGCCTTGGGTGGAGTTCCTTATGGGGCCACGACACGCAGTAATAGGTGGGGGAATCGAACGCGAGAAACGCCACTGGGGCCGTCGGTGGAGCTCCCTGTGGGGCCACGGAACGCTGTACTGGGTGGGAGCAACGCATGCGAATCATGCTGTTAGGGCCTTCGCTGAAGCTCTCCATGGGGCCACGGAACGTTTAAAGAGCGTGCCAAAATTATGGGGACGGTGGGCGAACCATGCCACCGGGGCCTTCAGTGGAGCTCCCTGTGGGGCCACGAAACATATAAGGTGTGTGCCAAATTGCACGGGGGGCGGCATGCGAACCATGCCAATGGGGCCTTCGGTGGAGCTCCCTATGGGGCCACGAAAAGTGTGATGAGTATGCCAAAATGAAGGGGGGACGGCATGCGAACCATGCCAACAGGGCCTTCGGTGGAGCTCCTTATGGGGCCACGAAACGTGTAAGGGGTGTGCCAAAATCTAGGGGAGCGGCATGAGGACCCTGCCACTGGGGCCTTCGGCGGAGCTCCCTATGGGGCCTCGAAACGTGTGAGAGGGGTGACGGGAGGAGGGAGAAGGGAGGAGCAGGAGGAGGAAGAGGAGACGCGGGCGCAGTCTCTTCAAAACGAAAACCCAACACCACAGGATGGTCGGGAAAAACAGGGGATGAGAGGACGCATAGAAGAAGTAGGGAGAAGGATGGATCACGAGAGAGATGAGTAAGACGCGGGGGCTAGGAGCAAAAAAAACAAGTGCCAGAGCCAGACGGGCTGATCGGGTGGGTAGACCCTAACCGAAGGGTCGGGAGGGCGGGCCCAGGCGGCCAGGTCGAGCAGGCGGGATGCTGAAGCGTGAGCATGAATCGCGAGGACGTCTCGAGCGATAGCGCGATTCCCCAGGAAATCTTCAGGAAAGCCCGAGCGAGAGCGCGACTCCTTCACGTCGATAGCGCGGCGTTAAATAACTTGCATCGAAGTCCCACGCGAGAACGCGATTCCTGCATAATGTGTCAGGAAGTCCCGCGCGAGAGCGCGACTTCTCAATAAACTGTGAGGAAGCATCAGGCGGGAGCCGCTGTTGTTTGAATCGGGGGCCAAGAGCTTAATTTGGTGACCCCAGACATTCCCTGCTTTAAAACAAAACAAGGTGCGGGCCTGGGGAGGAGCATTTCATTGAAGAACGCACTGAGGTCACCGAAGGGGAGGATCCACCATAATTCGCCGGCAGAAGTGAGAATTCAACGACTATCATTTCAAGACTCCTCGCTCTGACCTGCTCGGGAACCATTCAAAACGTATATCCCAAACCCTCGACACACGCCCTCTTCGTCATCCGTCGTACCCCCTTGGGGGTCATCGTTTTGGCATGCCACGTGTAACTGGTGCTGTCCATAAAACCTATCCTGGCGAAAGGCCCAACCATATACAATTGTGAATACCGCCGTTGTGAGAACTGCCTTCGGTGGAGCTGCCTATGGGCACGAAGCGCGAAGAGTGCGCCGCAATGGGGCGGGGCCCCCATGCGGGCGCTGTCGCTGGGACGTTCGGTGGAGTTTCCAATGGGGCCACGAAACGCATGCTGGGTGTGCCAAAGTGGACGTGGGGCTGCATGCAATTCATGCCGCTGGGGCCTTCGGTGGAACCCCCTTTATGAGGCCACGGAACGTGTGAGGGGTGTGCCAAAGTGAAATGGGGCGGCATGCGAACCATACCACTGGGGTCTTCGGTGGAGTTCCCCATGGGGCCACGAAACGTGTGAGCGGTGTGCCAAAATGGAGAGGGGCGGCATGCGAACCATGCCAGTGGGGCCTTCAGTGGAGTTCCTTGAGGGGCCAGGAAGCGTGTGAGGGGTGTGCCAAAAGGAGGATGCCAGGAGGAGGAGGAGGAGGAGGAGGAGGAGGAGGAGGAGGAGGAGGAGGAGGAGGAGGAAGAGGGGGAACGCGGGGACTGTCCCTCCAAGACGAGGACCCAACACCACAGAATGATTGGCAAAACATTGGAAGGGAATGACGGATAACGGATCGAAGGGGAAGGAGAAGGATGGAAAACGAGAGAGATTAGCAGGACGGCGGCTAAAAGCAGAAAACACGTGGCAGAACCAAACGGGCTGATCGGGTGGGTAAACCCTAACGAACAGGTCGGGAAGGCGAGCCAAGGCGGCCAGGTCGAGCAGGCGTGTTACTGAAGCGTCAGCCCTGCATGAATCGCGAGGACGTCTCGAGCGATAGCGCGATTCCCCAGGAAATCTTCAGGAAAGCCCGAGCGAGAGCGCGATTCCTTCACGTCGATAGCGCGGCGTCTGAATGAATGGCGACGAAGTCTCACGCGAGAACGCGGTTCCTGCATAACCTGTCAGGACGTCCCGCGACGGAGCGCGAATTTTGAAATACGGTGTGAGGACGCATCAGGCGGGAGTCATTATTGTTGTGAACCGGGGGCGGGGGGCGTTTTGAGACGGAAGACGTTCCCTTG